TTTCGATACTTCACTTCGTACTGCGTCGCTAGACGCTACGGGAACCTATTCAATCACACCGTGCTATGGTAGATGAACGACTTATAAGTAATTGTCCAGGGCGTCCAGAAGGGGGCCCTGTAGATCAACTACAATGAAGCAGGCCATAGCCAGAGACCCAGATTCTTTTCGGGGTCAAGAGGAGGCAAAGAAATGGGCTAACTCATAGAGGTCGAGCCCGGCCTTACATAATCGTTCTTAGAGCTTCGCACAGCCTCGGTACTAGATAGGGCCGAGAACGTGACGGAAGCTAAGCCCAGACGTGGGAACTTCAGCGGGTTCGAAACATAGTCAAACCCAGCAAGGATTAAATCCAGCCTTAGGGTGGGGATATGGTTCCTGGAGTGTTTTGAGCTCAGAGAGACAGTTACGCAGAAAGGACCTGAGCCTGCAAAGCAAGGACGTCTAGGTTGTAGAACCTGACAAAGGAGGATGGCGAGGACCAGCCGGCCGCCGCACAAATTTCTGCAATGGACACACCACTGGACCATGCCCAGGATGAGGCCATGCCTCTCGTGGAATGTGCTCTGACCCCGATGGGGCATTGAAGGCCCAAGGAGGAGTATGCAAGAGCTATTGCGTCAACTATCCAACGGGATAGTCTTTGCTTTGTGACCGGAAGCCCCTTGGTGCGGCCACCATTCCCTGATTCGCCTGATGACCTGAGGGATCAGGGCGATCTTGGGAAAAGCGTAAAGGAGAAGGCTGGGCCAATCGTGGGCCAGTGCATCCCTTTTCTTCGAAAAATAGATTGGGCAGTGAGAGTTGTCTTCTGAGGCGAAGAGGTTGACCTCTGCCTTCCCGAAGATCTCTGGTTGACCTCTGCCTTCCCCATATTCTCCGAACCGTCTGGGGGTGAAGCATCCACTCGCCAGAGGGGACGTTGCTCCGAGACAGCATGTCTGCTCCCTGGTTCAGTTTGCCCGGTATGTTTTTAGGGAGCGCAAGTGGCAATGTGCCCACTCCAGTAGGCTCTTTGCCATCCTGAAGAGGCGTGGGGAGGAAAGGCCGCCCCGGCGATTTATGTAGGATAGTACCGTCATGTTGTCCGATCGGACCAAGACATGGCATCCTTCTAGATGTGGTAGAAAGGACTCGACAACGCGCCAAAGGCTGGTCTGCCGTCGCACAGGGCTCCCCAGCCCGTGTTTGACGCATCTGTGAAGATATGCTCCCTGGTTCAGTTTGCCTGGTATGTGTGTTGCTTTTAGGGAGCGCAAGTGGCAATGTGCCCACTCCAGTAGGCTCTTTGCCATCCTGAAGAGGCGTGGGGAGGAAAGGCCGCCCTGGCGATTTATGTAGGATAGTACCGTCATGTTGTTCGATCGGACCAAGACATGGAATCCTTCTAGGTGTTTGACGCATCTGTGAAGATGACCTTCCTTTTGTGCATCATCTCTCTTTTTGAGTATGTTTGTGTTTTATTTTGTCCGCTATCACAGCGGTTGTACACTTGGGCGCTAGAACGGGCCCCCGACCAATCCT